ACATGCTTTTCAGAATCAGTCTTAGATGTAACCATATATATATATATCCATAACATATAGTGAGTGCTTTAAGTAAGTCTAAACTTTTGAAAGGAAGTATATTTACAGTAAGCAATATTTAGCAGTGCTTAGTTATATATCACCGCGTCACTGAGTGAGCATAATCATTTATGATATAGATTACTTTCATGATATTTTTTGTAGTGTGCTATATGTGGAGCTAATAAGTCTGTGCGCTTAAGCTACATTAGATGCCTACTCAATCAACGAAAGCCATCCATTAATTTTGTTTCCTGAAAGAACAATGATCGTTATTGACATGCTATTTGAGTTGCTGCCATCATGTTATGACTGTAAAGATGAGTCTGTTTTGAATACTTGCAACATAGATGCACATATATATAGGTAAGCAAAACAAAGCATTCATCACTGAGTCTGAGACGTCAGTGGGGTCACCGTGACCCAGCTGCAATCCTTCTTGCATGAGTATCCAGATGGAAACGTGATTGACAGACTTAAACCCTGCAGGGGGGATGTTATGTGTCTAAATACACAAAGTATGACTATATGGTCTACAAATTACCCTCTTGGTGTTTATTTGGAAATGAAAAAAGTTTCGGAAAATATATGAAGGCCACCAAAGGGATTGCAAAGAACGTTTTGTTTGTGCAAACACAGAAGAATTATTTAGGTATCATGTTTGGGCTAATGAATCATACATTATCGTAGTACAGTTCTTCTTGGTCTTGTTTTTCTTGATGCAAGTAAGATTCGTATAATTCTCGGTCATAAAATGGCAAGTGATTCTATCAGCACCCGGAGGTATATATAAACAAATGATTTCATCAGGTGCATAAGCAATAAAACTATAAAAGATAGCGTCCAGATATTCGAGCTTGTCAAAACACCTTCATGTATTCGTTTAAATACACATAAAAGAGTTTTGATAAGATCGAAAAATCCTTTATATACGATAAATATGTTATATATTATAGGGATAGGGATAACGCTCTCTCTCTCTCTCTCTCTCGTTCTCTCTCTCTCTCTCCATTGTATCAGGCATAGTGCGAACACGTGCATGCTACTGATGTGTTCACGTCGAGTAGGTCCCAAATACCTGCCGCTTCTGGAGCTTCTCGTAACACCCCACAACAATGGGGGTCTAAAGATGTCCTCGTACATCTTTGCCTAGAATATTTCTATATTATTTTGTGTACAGATCGCGTGCAAGCCAGGTGACATCTTGTCTGACTTTTGATACGGATTACGCGACATCACATACGTACATATCTACTTACCCGTGAAGTCCTGGTTAGAATTGATCTTCAGCAGCCCATGCTTGTCGTAAGAGGCGACTAACGGGATCGGTTGGTCAGGCTCTCATGTCATTGTATCCCAGTTGCGAATATCGATGCTCATTTTGTTGATTGTCTGGTCCAGACTTGATTATTTACAGATCTCCGCCATATTGCTGGAATATTTCTGAGTGCGGCGTTAAACAACAAACACACAAAGCAAAACAAACATATCTACTAGGAGTACGTCGCTATCAGTTAATGCTTTTACTTTCCTCGTCTCTCAGGTCTACTTGTTAACAAGTAATATGATGTTTGTGTATACTGTTGTCGTCGTCTTGCTGACTTGATACTGACGAACATCTGGTGCTAAGCAGAAAGCTCCATACTTTATTGATTTTAAATTTTAAATTTACTGGACAATTCTGATCTACTTCGGTGTCCCTTGATATCATATCACAACAAGGCTCACTACAGATGGACGTAAATCTCATTACTTAGCTTGACATTTGTATTGATAAACCTTTTGTGTCATCTGATACTCGTAATGGCCAGGTTTGACTGTTGCTACAAATGGCTATGGAATGGAACGATCCTCCAATGACTGCATGCATTTTATTTCATATATTGATTTTAGATTCAGATGCTAAGCTTGTTATGTACACGTGATTAAAACACACTTGATACCAAAGTCGATACAGTTGTAACATTTTCAAAGTTCATGGCTTCAATGACATGATTGAAACATCAAATTTGCTTCTTGTGAAATATTATAAGATCAAACAGAATGTATTCCGAAACATCAAATCTTAAATTATACAATCTTTATCACCACTGGTGTTCCGATACGATTACGCCACGTATTTAAAGCAAATTCTGATTAGTTGTTGAAGTTTCTATTCTAAAGTTTAATATCATATAAACTCATTAAATCGTTGTGAAACTCGTGTTCGGATTTAGAATGTTTCCCGAATGTCAGATGTTGTAGGGATATTTTCTGTCAAATATCTCACGATAGAGAAAAAATCTGCGTTAATGCTCCTAAGTATATTCCATAAGCACAATTCTCGCTTGCAACTCAATAATGGAGGGATAATCTATCCTGAACTTGCCTTTCTGACATTTTATGGAAGCAATGAATATGCATGAGAATGTGTCCTTGCATGTGCAGGGACATTTATGTTTTACCGGGCACCTATAATCAGGTGAATACATTCCATTAGACAAATGATGGTTAACAGAGTGTAAACATACTATATCTTATTGACTGGACGAAATGCAAAGCGTAATTCCTACCTTCTGTTTCAGACTGAATTATCAAGTAAGCTGAGTTTTAAAGCCGCTATACCTTGTGTTTAACTGGTTACCATTTTCAAGGTTACCATGCCCTATTCTAAATATACAAACAGGTATATATATACCCAAATTAGTCGGATTACAGTCATAAATCACGCCGTTCCTAACACATTTTCGTTTCTCCCTTGACTACGTTTAGAGAGCCAAAACCATATGAAGGAGACAGTGCATCTACGCAAGCACTTAACTGTCAATTCCGAGCGTCACCTTGTCGATAGCAACTGATAGCATTTCCATATGTAACTTGATTTAAGAGACGGAGTTTTATATCATTTTACGTAGATTTGGCTCTCTATGTGGTGTAATCGATACGAAAGCGGTTGTAAACTAATTTAACCCTCGTCAGGTCTCTAACTTAGGAAAAATTTGGTCTCACTTTTTACTTCTTCCCTTCTTTCACTTGGTACTGGAAGAATGTGCACTCGCGTTTCTCCGTATTGAGTCGTAACCCTAATTTACATGCTGTCTGTTTGATATCTGGTGGAGGTGAGATATCAGACTGTACTGGAAGATTCTGGTGCCTTGAATATAGGTTACTCTGTGTGGTATGACTGAGATGATGCTAATGAGAAGTTGCTGTTTGCTGGTTTGAAGAAATGCGAAAGGATCGTCATAGTATAAAGTTTATTTATCAATTTCGAAACACTTCAGCAGAATTGTTAATTGTTAAAAAACTTCCTGGTTTCTGCTTTACGGGATACTCGATGATGATGCTTGCCCAAGGACGTATATATAGGTAATATAGGATAGGATTACTAACTGAAGCACGTATTTTGCAAAACTCTGGGCCCTGATTCTCAAACACAGAATGCAAATACCATTTTGTAGGGGTCAGTGTTGGTGCATATGGAGTTTAAACATGGAGTTTAAACTTTTTATTGATGCCATTTATGATAAAGAATCTTCTTTGATGGATTCCTTTGAGATATATCGTTTTTGTTTGTTAAGGGTTTGAATTATACAATTCGTATTGATCTATTGATCACTATGTGGAAGGCTTTGATGTGTATCATTCACTAACAAGTTATATATTTATCTCAATCATTTGTTGCACAATGACATGTATATTTATGTCATAACGTTTCGTTCAAAGATGTACTCATCCATAACTCTAGATCTTTACATATCCACATGTAAACAATGCATTAAAGCATCCTCTCTCATGTTCCCGTGAAACAAAAGATACGACTCTTTGAAAAGGATTGTAAACACTAAATATGTCTGTTGTGTAAAAACGTCTTCCATAAAAGCATGGACAAATACATTTATCGCGTACACACAATAATAAAGGAAAATTATCCACAAGAAACACATTAACGTTACAAGTGCTTTGGCACCTCCATAACAATTAATTAAATGGTGAATAAAAGTGTTATAGATGGTGTTAAAGCCGACCCAATATCCCCTTGTCTAGACTCAGATCCTGTAAGAGAGACAACTGTCTACAAGACAGTTTAGCTTAAATTGGGCCTAAATTGGGGCTGTATTGCCAGTATACTAAATGTCATAATGATAGAGTTGGCGTCTATCAGGACAGCTCGGAGATGAACGATTTGGAAGGCCTCACCTAATCAGATCTATTGCAAAGTTAGGCCAATGTTCGTAGTAACGCACTGAAATCCAATTTTGGCGATGTGACATTAAAAGACAGAAATAATTGTGTTAGCTAGGAGATTAGGTCTAACGTTTCATAAATGACCTCTTCATAAAGCATGTAATTTGAAATTTTGAATAAAGTTTGGTAAATTTGTGAGTTTGATTACCCGTACGCGTCTCATATAACGTATCAATATAAGGACATATATGGTTTACACCTGCGTCATCTTCCAGTACGGACGTACTAATAACACGTGAATTGTTTGGATGAATACGTTATACATCATCGCGTGGAACAAATATGTACATACTTATTTTGATATGAATGAATAGATTTGCCCGGTATAGATTTAAGTACAGAGTTACATGAATATTTCACAAATATGTTCTGTTGTAACAGAATCATCACTCTATCATACCAAGGCCGATTGACATAGAATATATATTCCGGTACCAGGTGTTAGGATGCACCTTTCATTTGCATATTGGTGCATGTGTACATGTTATACCAAGTGTAAGATGACACATGTGTGTTAGGGACACAATACAGTGATAAACAGTCATCTACTCCTTGGGTCACCCCGTTGGTGCTAATTGGATCTTTGTCACCTTGATCTGTCTTTCCTCAAATATTTGTTGAGATTCTGTGTTTCGTATCAGCGTTTGGCATTGGCGTATAATGAACATCAGATGATAGCGTGCCGGCTACAGCAACCGCGAGCCTCAGCGTTCGCTCTCCTCCACTCATCGAGCGTGGTGTTCCTCCCCATCTCTCCACTCTTGTTAAACCTTCGATAAGTTAAGGTAGCGAGCTTGTTCTGCTAGACCCCCGCCAGTTGTAGCGTGACTGACGATAGACTCAGGGTCTGTGAGCGCGTCAATGTCTCATCTGATGGCTCTCTATTGATAACCACAGTCCGACCAATTACATACACCATCCTCTGACCCTTGGACTACTAGCATCTCGTCGCATCGCCTGCACGGGATCTGTTTGGCAATAACCTGCTCGACAGTTCTATCTACATCTCGCCGTGTCGTACCTTAACTCAAAACTCATCTGTTTGTGTTCCTTACGTATGTGATAATTGTTGAACACTGGACTGCATCCAACTTGGCCGATCAATGGACTCGTCCGTTTACCCATGTGCCCACAGCCGTGTTGAAGGATGCTGGCTTTGACGATCTTAAGCTTGTGGGACTTCTGTACTGTACAGCCAGTTTCACCTCAGAAATCAATTAAATATCATTTTATTGTTTCTCTAGGTTCAGCAATGACAAGAGGGTAGTATCCGTCGACGACCATCAACAGAGTTGGAGTGGACTAGGGCCAGTGTTTATTATGGAGAACGTCTGAGTCTACGATCCGTTCTCTTCTACTGATATGGGAGAACTAGAAAGAAATACTACGGATAAAAAGTGGGAAAATTTACTTGTGCGGACTGCTACTACATTGTGTGTGTTTCTCCTTCTATGTGGCTTCAGCGACTTCGTGTTAGCCATCGAGGTCCAGCGTTCAGTGGGTGATTAACATGACCCATCGACACAGAAGAAGACTTACCACGTATTTTCTATTGGGGCTGTCATTGCTACAGTGTGTTCGTTGTCTACCACAAGAAATCAAAATAGGTAAGTCATATATTGCTGAATCGGAGGTGGTTCTTTCACGAGAGTGTGTTGCATCCAATAAAAGTGTAAATGAACATTCGTATGAATAGTTTTCGCATGGCACATATTAGATTTAATTGCTTGATGAACAATCAATAACATACATGTATCTTTAATGGAAACCTATACAATTAATTAAATGTGTGTACGGTGTTGCGATCACAATGGCAATGCTCAAATGAACACAAATGGAAATGGCATCTGCAATATCGGAGATGTGCCTCCATACATCAAGTCAGCAGTACACATGAAGTAGTTACATTTATTCATTACAGTCTATTTAGACGAGACTTCTATTGGAATCTAGTCCAGGTCTATTGCGTTTATGTACAGCTTACAAATCGCAGGTCAGAGTGATGCCATGGGGATTTCCATATCGAGACGCATGCTCAATTTTGTGGCACAAATGCTATTATTATGAAGCTAGACCTTTTAAAGCTCTACTTGTTCTGCCGTGTCATGTGCGAGAGCATTATAGGGAATCAGAAATACCACAGAGCAATACACAGAACCACATAATTGTCATTTCCGATGTTTCATAACATTATTCTATTGGTTCATAGTGTCATAATGGGCCTGTGTTATCAGTCGCTGATCTGGTATGGAGCCCCGTGTCTCAATTATATCATGAGAAGTGCTCGCCAGCAGTTTGGGATAGCGGATAACAGGCTTTAGAACTTTCAGATGTATTCAACACTTCTAAATAGTTTTCGTCTTAAGTTTGGTACAAATGATTGACTCATGAATAGTTTCGAACTCTTGCAATTCATGAATATTTCATTTATGACAGTTTTATGTATTTTGTGTATGTCATGTAATGATATTCATAACACTTTCGTCACTTATGTGCATGTATATTATAATGCATATTCTGGTCCACGATTTTTTGTACAAAAAGATGAGGTTAAGAATTATTGACGGCCTCCAGCAACGTGCTTTTACAGTAATCTAATTACATGCATATGCGATGTTTGTTGTCTCACTGAAACACTGCAACCACGCATCTTGTGAGTTTCATGCATTATTATCTGATCACACATACGTCATTTTAGTAACACACTACTGTATCCTGAATTAGTTTTAATATATCAACGTCGACAGATGTTGATATATATATATGTCGAAAGAGTAGTCCCTGATGAACGCCAACGATAAAAATAATGTTATTCCTTGACTGAGAAATCTTTTAGGAAACTCTGCCTGTTTTTGAGTTTAAAGCTATCGGTTTTCTAAAGAAACACGGCAAAGGTATAAAGGTGATATGTGTCTTTCCAGATGCGTGGGGAGGCAATGGGTTTATCCTCCGAGGCTCTGACAGTGCATGGTGTGTTGGCCGAGCAAATGCTCGAATGCTTTTCCTGAAAATAATGGATCTGTATGAAAAACTAATGAAATATTGATTGTTCCAATCAGAAGGAATTGAAAATGACGGGGTAGAGGGGAAACGTGTGAATGTCAATGTTATAGACCATGCAGGCGAGGAGTGGTTGAGAGGGGTCAAGTTGTGGCTTCTCTTAAAGTATTATGTAGTCATGAAGACTGAGATTATTTCACGGCGCTCTTACATGCATGACGATTGTTATGCATGTGACTGTTAGAGGGGAAGCATGCATAATGCATAGCCATATCCTCCAAATGTATGCTTCCTTTCATCGTTATGCCGAACCTAATGAAACATAAACAGATAACATAGAAGGATTTCGTTTTATGACTATAGATAACAAGACTTTTACGATGTGACTTGTATTCCTCATCATTTGAGTTTCAATATGTGTATAACTTTATTGAAGTCTGTTTTATGGTGCTGAAACTTGATAACTTATTGCATGATGTTGAAATGATGTGTTGCGATATGATGACAGGGCGGCCACGTAGCCCAGTTGTTAAAGCGTTCGATCGTCGCGCCGGAAACCAGGGTTCGATTCCCAACATGGGCGCAATATGTGAAACCCATTTCTGTTGTTCTCTGAGGTATATTTCTTGCAATATTGGTGCAAGCAGTGTAACACCGTACTCACTCAGTCACTCCATTGGTTATACTTCTTGAAATAAAGAAAGCGAGAACTGCTTTTCTTCAGTCATGTATTGGACATAGTGCTTGTAGAAGAAGTTCCCAAATATCATGTAGTTACAATATGTTTACATACATTGTGTTTTCATCTGAATAAAATGAGATGCCACAATAAGAATCTTATTATAGCATCATGCCGCCTGTACATACTTGTGCCTTCGTCAGTTATACTTAAACACTATGAAATACCAGTAACATATTCTAATTTCAATTAATGGTATCAGGTTAGGTATACCTGGATAATAGCCCGTTTCTGTAACAGAATATGGCAACTTATCCTATTGATTTGACGAAGATAGTATTATCAAGCTACGTTTTTGCAATAACATTAGCCACCTTTGTGCAACATTTGCTTAACATCAGGGTAACACTTGTTTGTATTGGTAACATTATACATTAAATAATGTCATCAGGGTAACATGTGTTTGTATTGGTAACATTATACATTAAGTAATGTCATGAGGGTAACACGTGTTTGCATTGGTAACATTATACATTGAATAATGTCATGAGGGTAACATGTGTTTGAATTGGTAACATTATACATTGAATAATGTCATGAGGGTAATATGTGCTTGTATTGGTAACATTATACATTGAATAATGTCATGAGGGTAACATGTGCTTGTATTGGTAACATTATACATTGAATAATGTCATGAGGGTAACATGTGTTTGTATTGGTAACATTATACATTAAGTTATGTCATGAGGGTAACACGTGTTTGTATTGGTAACATTATACGTTGAATAATGTCATGAGGGTAACATGTGCTTGTATTGGTAACATTATACATTAAGTTATGTCATGAGGGTAACACGTGTTTGTATTGGTAACATTATACGTTGAATAATGTCATGAGGGTAACATGTGTTTGTATTGGTAACATTATACATTGAATAATGTCATGAGGGTAACATGTGTTTGTATTGGTAACATTATACATTGAATAATGTCATGAGGGTAACATGTGTTTGTATTGGTAACATTATACATTAAATAATGTCATGAGGGTAACACGTGTTTGTATTGGTAACATTATACATTGAATAATGTCATGAGGGTAACATGTGTTTGTATTGGTAACATTATACATTAAATAATATCATGAGGGTAACATTATACATTAAATAATGTCATGAGGTAACATTATGCATGAAATAATGTCATGAGGGTAACATGCGTTTGTATTGGTAACATTATCAATAAAAAATATCATGAGGGTAACATGTGTTTGTATTGGCAACATTATACATTAAATATATCATAAGGGTAACACGTGTTTACATTGGTAACATTATACGTTGAATAATGTCATGAGGGTAACATGTGTTTGTATTGGTAACATTATACATTGAATAATGTCATGAGGGTAACATGTGTTTGTATTGGTAACATTATACATTGAGTAATATCATGAGGGCAACACGTGTTTGTATTGGTAACATTATACATTAAATAATGTCATCAGGGTAACATGCGTTTGTATTGATAACATTATACATTAAATAATGTCATGAGGGTAACATTATACATTGAATTAAGTCATGAGAGTAACAAGTGATTGTATTGGTAACATTATACATTAAATAATGTCATGAGGGTAACACGTGTTTTTATTGATAAGGGCGGTGGGGTAGCCTAATGGTTAAAGCGTTGGCTCGTCACGCCGAAGACCCGGGTTCGAATCCCCACATGGGTACAATGTGTGAAGCCCATTTCTGGTGTCCCCCGCCGTGATGTTGCTGGAATATTGCTAAAAGCGGCGTAAAACCAAACTCAGTCAGTCAGTTGTATTGGTAACAGTATACATTAAGTAATGTCATGATGGCAACATGCGTTTGTATTGATGACATTATATGTTAAATGATGTCATGAGGTTAACATGTGCTTGTATTGGTAACATTATACATTAAATAATGTCATGAGGTTAACATGTGCTTGTATTGGTAACAGTTATATTCAGTTTGAATAATGTCATGTATGTAACACACCAATATGATATCTTAGTCAAATAATGATGCGGATATTAGCAACTAAGTTGATTATTTACGAAATAATGTCGCAAGATTGACAACACTCTAATGTGATCGATTTGGCCAAGACATGACAGAAAAGGAAGTTACGTGTTTATGAAATTTTGAAATAGTGTCATGAGGGTAACATTTGTTTACACTGGTAACACTCTAATGCGATCACCTTAGCCAACACATGGCAAAGAATCTTGCAAATAAGTTAATTATTTTTGAAATAGTGTCATGAGGGTAACATTATATATTAAATAATGTCATGAGAGTAACAAGTGTTTGTATTGGTAACATTATACATTCAATATATCATGGGGGTAACACGTGTTTGTATTGGTAACATTATACATTAAATAATGTCATGAGGGTAACATTATACATTAAATAATGTCATGAGAGTAACAAGTGATTGTACTGGTAACATTATACCTTAAATAATGTCATTAGGTTAACATGTGCTTGTATTGGTAACATTTATATTCAGTTTGAATAATGTCATGAATGTAAGATGTGTTCATATTGGTAACACACCAATATGATATCTTAGTCGAATAATGATACGGAAATTAGCAATTAAGTTGATTATTTACGAAATAATGTCGCAAGGGTGACAGCACTCTCTTGAATTGACAACACTCTAATGTGATCGATTTGGCCAAGACATGACAGAAAAGGAAGTTACGTGTTTATGAAATTCTGAAATAGTATCATGAGGGTAACATTTGTTTACACTGGTAACACTCTAATGCGATCACCTTAGCCAACACATGGCACAGAATCTTGCAAATAAGTTAATTATTTTTGAAATAGTGTCATGAGGGTAACATTTGTTTACACTGGTAACACTCTAATGCGATCAGTT